TTGATTAAGTAACTGATATTTCTAAATCACGACTCCTACACGAAAAGAAGTGACGTGATCACGACTCTAGGAACTGACCCCAGGCGAATTACGGTTTTGAGGTGGATTTTCCTGAAGTAACTGAGAGGTTTCTGTTGGATGTATTTCACAAATATAATATCGTGCATAATAGGAATATCCAGTTTGGCGAAATTTAAAAAAATCGCAATTTTTGCCGCTTCTTTTTATCACATTTCGTCCTATTTCTTGTAGTTGGGGTACTATTACAAATTGAATTTTGCAAGACTCTGAATCTTGACAGCCCAGATCTTCCCAAGGATAGATGCAATGATAGATTCGACGTAAAAAATTTGTTTTTGTCCCCAATTTAAGTCTACGTTATTAATTTTTCTGAATATTCTAATTGATTAACAGTGTGGTCAAAAACTTTAAATGCACTTTTTCTAAAAAAAGTTGCAGCCTGTATTTGAGTATTTACAGAATTTACTTTGAATGATTCAGTAATAGCTATGAATTGTGAATATTTTAATGTACACCATAGAAGCAGAATGATTAAGGAACTGTATCACCTTGGAATTATGATTTTGTCTGGAATCATCTAGGACGCCGTTACTGTATCTTTGAATTATCAAAGCGACGAGCTCTGAATGGTTTATGGGACATTTAATGTAACAAGTGGAGCAAACACGAAATCCATCTTTGCCAGAGTCAAGTAAATGGTGGTCGTACCATTATCAAAGTCGAGTCAAAGCTTAAATTTTTTTGCTTTTTCCATTTCCAGTATAAAATGAGGTCAAGGTCAACGCAAACCTAGACTATGAAGTCGACCATTTTTGCTAGAGCAATTGGTTATTGATGTGCGTTTGACCTTGAAATAACTTGAATACAATGGTCAATGTCATGTTCAAGGTGCTAATTCAGAGGGAAAATTTGTCAGTTACAATGTGAAAAAAAGGGGGTTCCATTTGAGAAAAAGTCACTTGGCTTGGAAAAGCTCTACGTAGTTGTAATCAAGGGTCATTGTCAAGGACAAAATCAATTTGCTCCCTCGAAACCTACAACTTTTGTTTGAATGTATAGTGTTCCAAATAGCGTTTAGTTAGAACATAAGATGCATAATACGGGGCCTGTAAATTAAGTGATGAGACTGCAGCACTGGAGGCGCCGGGCTCGGAGGGGAGACAGTGGAGTATATGATCCGCCTTCAATACAAGTTTGAACTCGTTCAAGTCATTTGGTTGTCCGTAGCGATTTTTCTATTGTGTTCTAAAAATGACATCAATTTCGAGCAAACCGTGTGCTATCAAGTTTTGCTTCCGACTTGGGCACAGTGCACGGAAACTCTTGATAAACTTCAACAGAGCTGGCATTTTATCAAAAACCCAGGTTTTCCGGTGGTTTAAGGCATTTTCAGAAGGGAGAGTCGATTGAAGATGATCCACGAAGTGGGATCGCCTTCAGCTTCAAGAACCGTTGAAAATATCGACAGAATCCGGGATCATGTGCATTCAGATCGGTTAATAGTCAGAATGATCGGGAAGAGTTAAATTTGACTCACACCACCGTTCATCAGATCAAGAATAACTGGGTGTTGCATCATGATAATGCACCTTGTCACATAGCAATGTGAATAAACGAGTTTTTGGCCAGTAAAAACATTCATGTGGCTCCTCAGCCTCCTTATTCGCCTGACTTGAGTTGTTGTTACTTTTCTTCTTCCCGAAGTTGAAAAATCACCTCAAGGGACTCATTTTGGGACAGTCGAAAACGTTCAAACAATCGTAACCGACCAGCTGAAGGCTATTCCAGTATCGGAGTTTCCACTACTGCTATGAGAAGTCGGAGTACCATCTTCAGCACTGTGTGGCTTCAAAAGAAAGTGATTTTGATGGAGACAATATAAAATTGTAATTATATTTTAATAAAAATGGAAAAAAACAGTCTCACACTTCATTTACAGACCTCATAGGAGTATTAGAGGAACAGTTTGATCTATAGGATAAGATAACCTTTTTGAATAATAGTGAAAAGTACTCAAATACCTCTTTCCATGAACCTGATGAGCAATCTGTTTCAATTCTTGATTCGAGAAAACATCTGATGCTTCCAGGACATTCAATAGATGCTCTGCTTTTGACAAATTTGGGACGTGAAGGACAGCTGTGAATGCTGAGAGCATTTCCATTTCTTCAAGCACTTGTCTGAAACAAAAAAAAATGATAAATCAAATAAAAATATAATATAAATATTATCATCAGATACTAATTTGCTTTTAGCTTGTACGAGTAAGTGGTATGTTAGCTATACATTTTTCATTCAGTATTTCGATTTTTGAGACATTAAGGAAAATATTGTAGATGTTATTGACTTTTAAGATTCTACTTTACGCAGATGACGTAAAAACATTACTGGCAAATTGATAATCCATCTAGTGCTTTTATATTCAAAGGAATCTTGACTGGCTAACAGAGTGTGTGTGATGCTAATAAACTTTTTGTCACCACTCTTCAGACGTTAGAGTTCAGTGGCCTGGGGGTAATACAGGACACACTGAACTTCAATTCTCACTTAATTCATTTATTAAATTCTGCACCTACAGTTTTGTACATTTCGTTTGTTCTTTCTAAGCTTGGAATATGCAAGGATAATCTGGAACCCATCGTATGATACTTATGTGAGTCACTGGAAATAATTCAGAGGAAATTCTCTCAAAACCCATGGTGATTTATCCGCCCATAGGGACATCACAAAATACCTTACTTCAAAAGCATGGCCATAGAAGGAAGATACAATATCTAGTTTTTTTATTTAAAGTTGTAAATTTGTCAAAGGGAAAAGGGCTTCCGGCAATATCAAAACAGCTACAAAACAAAGCTGTAGGAGTGTATGGTGGTTCTCCGCATGCTTGCATCGTTTTCCAAAATTTATGGCATAACAAAAAAAAACCTAGAGAGAGAAAGACTGCTTAATAATCTACTATCTACTCTCTGTCTGTTACAAAACTACTTATTGAAAACACTCAAACTTGAAAAACCACGTACATTTTTTTTACAAGAAAAGTAAAGCAAAGGTAATAAAATATAAAATGTACTGAAGTGATATATCCCCAGAAATTTATCCCTCGTCTAAAATAAAGTTATGGGAGATCAAAAATCAAAATCATGATCAACATAATATAATGCCCAATAGAAGGTGCCATGTAGGCACTGTCCCATATTTAAACATGTAAAATGACAAACAAAATCAAATGCACTCTAAGAATTTCAGTCAGCAATAATCAACATATAAATAATGTCTATAGAATAGTTTATTAAAATGATATTTTACCTGTTCACATCAGGGTTTTTTTTTCAACAGAATACTGAATCACTGAGAAAGAAAGATATAATACGTCTGAAATTATACAATCAATAAACGATGAAATTTACCAAATGAAAATCATTGAAAAGGGTTTGGCCTAGGAATGGGCACTCTACCATTAATAAAGAGGAATTCAAGTTACTAGTAAGTGATCAAAATAGTAAAAAAAAGTTACGTGATTTTGGCACGTGACAAATTACCAACATGATTCATTTTTGGCTATGCTAAATTTCAACACACCTATAGTAAGAACGAGGGTCAAGCCGGCCTACGTACCCCACAAAAGAAAAAAGAATCATCTGCTGCCCTGACCACTAATGTTATAATGCCTATAGGAGCTATTTTGATATGTTCAACACATCTTTATCTATTATTAAGAGACCATGTAAAGTGACAGTCGTTTTAGACCACAGTTTTATAAGTTTAGAGCAATGGCATTTTTTTTCCGTGAATTCTTACTGAAAAATTACTAAGCATATCTGTGGATGTAACTATTTAGTGACTATTAAATTGTATGTACTGTATTTCGATGCTTTCCACCAGTAATTGGTTTGTAAACTGGTGGTGGTATAATTAAATAAATAAATCCATAATGTGATCATGTTACGTTGTTGACCACAAAAATAATGAGGAAAATTTCTTACCTTCTACTCGATGTGCACAGTACCAGAAGCTTTTTACCAGGTGGCGGTTGTTTTTTAAGTAATAAAAGCAACGCTTGGAGAGTCAAATTCGAATATCTCGGGCCAATTGGTCCATAATCCAGTAGTCTTTCAATATTATCTACCAAAATACAGCTTAGAGTGGACCTATACGCGTCATCAAATATCTGAAAAGAACGATTTTGATAAGGTTCAACATTTTCTTTTCAATTTAGGTTGCTTAAAACGTACTTCCCAACATCTGATGCAACACAAATGTATATACACCTTAGGAAAAACCATTGTTATACATGGGAAATCATTTCTTGGCAACAGAGCATCGGCTCGTCTACTTTCATCGCTATTCGTACATATTTCCTACCGTTAACCGCAGACCTGTATCACGAATGAGAATAATAGGCAGATACGCTGTGTTGCCAATTTGAGTAGACCTTCCCGAATTGTGGGGAATTTTAGAGTTAAGTGTTGATTCATTCAAGCTTTTAATCAGCATGGCCTAGACGTTAGAACTTCATAAAGATAACATTGAAGCTGAATGCTGCTGGAGTATACTGTTTCGAATATTCAAAGCGGAGCGTTCAATGGGTCATCAAGCCACAGTCTTTTGAACAAAGAAATTATTTTACGAAAATGCGTTATATTTTTACGATTTTGTCGTCACCAAATCTCTGTTTCTATTGTAGAATTTTCAGCAAACTAAGCAAGAAACGTGATCTAGTATTACTCAACATTACGGATTTCTCGAAATACATTAAAAAATGTGACCTAGATACCTAACTGCCCCAAGCTCTTTAAATATAACACCTTAAACCAGGGTTACCAGGTGCTCAGTCACGTTGATTGTCATGTTGTACTGCGCAAGTCAGCAAACAATCTGCGTAATAAACGTTAGGAATCATCAGGTATTGCCAGATTCCCGAATACCGGCCACCATAGTAACCGTTATAGTTGTCCTTCAAAGTTGTCAAATCGCCCCTATGGCGCAAATTCGCCACACCAGGCAACTGTGCTATAAACAAACCCTGTTTATCACTACTATTTGATAGTCATATGGTAGTTGTAGTAGCCCTATCTAGCGGTCCATGATTTCTCTCAATACTGTTGTAATCTCTACTGGCAACAAGAATAGGTATTACAAAATCATTTATACAACATATACAAACATGAAAAATATGATTTAAACCATGAAACATTAATACAATTTTAATAGTTTGAACTTTTTTCATTTTTGGAATACTCTTATGTGGAATCCGCAGCTATTTTTCCCGAAATTTGGGTAGACTTAGATTTCTTAGAAATATGACATATTGGTATCGGCAACTCTGCGAATGGGAGAAACAAATCGCATTTGTTGAGCGCATCCGTCTAAGCGGTAGGCGCCAGCGCCCGTTCTGCCATCTCTCTCTTTTATCACTCTTCTACTTTACCCCGTTGTCCGTCACCCTCCAACGCTGCCACATAGGATCCTACAATCGAGTGTCTTTCACGCACCTACATACTTTTGTATATTTCCATCTCTCTTCCTCATCATAATGTATAATAATGTTTTTTCCCAAGGTGTATATGTATATATAATATACCTTTCTTATGCTCAAGCATTTGGCAGTTTCAGTGAATCCGACCATTTCTTCTGGAGAACAGACTTTGACAAATGGATAGTCAGAATTTTTTGCAAGTTGAGCAGCTAGCGCAGTTTTGCCTGCATTGGGCGGGCCTTCAAGCAGCACAGAAACCAATCCTGGAAATAAGAGCATCCAAATAAAAAATTGAATCTATTATATCTTCGGATTCGTACTTACTATGAAATATTCCAAATTTTTTAACAACTTTATGATAATATTTTGATTTTGAATTGAAACTACCTGAACCCTCGGCAGCCAGTTAATAATACCCCGGGATAAGAACTGGTTGATAATTTCTTGAGCTGTGCCAAATGCTGGTTTGACATCGTGTTCCAGAGCATGCAAGAAATCAGCTCTACCAACTAGCAATTTCTCCATAGCTTCGGGATCCACTTCTACCTTACTAGATGCTTTGATCAACCTGTTCATAGCTGTTGACTGTGCTGCTCGCACCAAACCTTCCAATTCTGCTCCAGAAAAGTTCTTTGTTAGTGCTGCCAGCTCCTGGAAATAAAGCATCCTTGGTATGACTATATTTCGTGAAATACTATGTCAAGTTGAATCAATTGATTAGTAGGTTGCTCAGAAACTAATTATATATTCAGTGACATAAGTGTTACACCCAGAAAAAATAATTTCTTCAACTTATTTTGGCAACATAATGACTATATTTAAAGCATGCTGTGGCAACAATGTCAATGCTTTATCTTTGTGTTTGTTTACGTTTATTTAAATGTTATCTCTTAGGCCCGTATCGTCAGTCGTCCCTACAATTGTAGGGCGCCTTTATGGTCTCCTTGATTGTCATAGTTTTCTACTTCTCCGTGTCAGCGCTCTATTTTGAGGTTATGTCACAAACATCTATTTGCATCAAATTGTGCTTGCTTTTGAGTTATATCATGTTTTATCAGCCTGAAATTTCCTATAATTTAAAAGGAAAACAAATCTTAACAATAGGATAGCGCTGACGCTGACACGGGACGAGTGTAATCTAGAAATTTTTGAAGGAGAGAAAAGAGTATGACAATCAAGGAGGCCATAAACGCACCCTACAATTGTAGGGACGACTGACGATACGGACCTTAGTGTTTGTGAAGAAAGCAGTTTTTGAGAGCTGAGTAGTACAGATATTTTCAGTTATTGCCCTTTCATTTACTAGTGTTAAGCATAACAAAATGCCTAGAGTTCGGAGACGTCCAAATTATCACCATGTTAGCGACTTTGACAGGGATAGAATTATTGCCTATCGAGATGTTGGTTTGTCCTATCACAAAATTGGCCGCCGTGTTAATTGTACTGCAATGACGGTAATGCGTGTGCGGATAGAAGGTAGAACACGAAGAAGGCCAACTGGTCCACCGACGCGTACCACACAGCGTCAAGATAGGCGGTTCAGGCAACAAGCCCTATGAGACCGTTTTGCTATTACGCGTCAGATCGCTGACCAATAGTTTCTAGAAGGTAGACGTGTTAATATTCGTACACTCTATCGCCTTTGGACTTTTTTCATACCGTACACGGTTAGTGCCTCCTCTGAATGCGGACCACTGTCGTCAACGTCTCAACTGGAGCAGAGAGCGGCAACATTGGGAGGCAGAATGGCATAATGTCATCTTCAGCGACGAATCGCGATTCAGTCTAGGTGCGCACGATGGTCGTAGAAGGGTAAGACGCTGCCGTGGAGAACAGCGTGATATTGGATTTGCTGTTGACAGGCATGTACCCACGACTGTTGGAGTAATGATTTGGGAGACTATTGTCTATGGTAGCCGATCACCCCTTCTCTTCGTTCACGGCAATATGACTACTTCGCGTTATGTTGATGATGTCCTACAAATAACTTTACTGCCGTATCTAGAGACGGCCGTCCACACGTCCTTTTTCAGCAAGACACCTCACGTCCCCATATTGCTCGTCGTACTACGGACTTTCTTCAAGAAGCAGTCGTTAATGTTTTGCCGTGGATTTAATCCCCATCGAACATGATGGGGAGGAGACTATTCACTATTGCACCATCCGACACAGCTAATCCACGAAGTTCGAGTTGCTTGGAATGAAGTGACACAACCAGACATCGATCATCTCATTTTGTCGATGTCTAGACGTATACAGGAGTGGATTCAGCTGCAGGGTCTCCCAACAAATTATGAATTTTATATTACTTGTCAATTAGTGAGAATGTTGCTATAGCACCCCAAACCAAACAGAAAACTGCGGATTCCTCCTTTCACCACGTCGCCTTCTAACCCTGGCACGACCATCGTGCATGCCTAAACAAAATCGAGACTCGTCACTAAAGACAATACTGTTCCATTCCTGATCCAAGACTGACCGTTGTCTGCACCACTCAAGGCGATTACGAGTTAAAGGGAGGACCCAGTGTGGCCGGTATGAAAACAAGCCAAAACTTCTCATTCGTCGGTAAACACTTCGCATGCCAATAGGTCTTCCGTGTTCTGCAAACCATTCATTTGCAATGGACCTGGTAGTGGAGAAACGGTCCCTTAAGGCCAATAATCTTAGGCGGCGATCTTCACGGTCTGTTGTTCTACGGCGGCGTCCAGTGCCCCTTGCTCTTTGCGTACGGCCTTCTCAAAGCCATGCCTGACAACACCTAACCACAGTGTCTACACTTCTTTGCACTCTAACTGCAATTGCCCGAAAAGAAAGTCCAGCGTCCCACTATACGGCCCCTATCAAACTCACTAAGTTGACGAAATCGTACAGGTCTCCGTACTCTAGGCATCGTAACCGATCGTAAAGGATGTCAAGAACCAAAATCCGCCAACGTTGATTCTTTACTGCGGCTGAAATATTCATTTTTAGAGCGTTAGTGAATTAAAAAAAAGCAGTATAAAAACCGGAATGTCCAACTGATAAGGCTGAACATTTTTTCACTTGTTATTTACAGTAAGATAAATACATTCACCAACTTTTATTAAAATAAAACCATTTAAACTGGGTGTTCGGATTTATATGTCACTTAGTATATTTCCATCTGATAAAATAATGGAATTTGATATTGAAGAGAGGATGATGGAAAGGAGTAGAACCAGTTCCCTCGGTAGACTTGCACTAGAAAAAGATGAAATAAATAAAATTATCCTTGGCTGCGAATTGGAGCAGAGCAAAAAACAGGCCGAGATAAGAGATGGAGCAAAAAACTGTGTGAACGACGAATACACTGGCCAGTATGGAAGAAATAAACAGGGTGTCACTCTTAAACCTATGGATCACAAAAATGATGAGCCTGAGGATGCTGACGTATTTAAGCCTAAATCGTCAATTTTTCGCACTCCTAAATGGAGCCGAGAGCCGGAACAGAAACGAGCGGAAATGATGATACTAGTTAGGGAAATGGAAAACATTGGTAAACGGCAATGCTATCAATATCAGAGTATCATGAATGAGGAACTAATACAGAACTTTTTTGAGGAAATTGACAGTATAAACAAAGTTGTTGATAAAGATCTGACAAAAAACCCATTTAGCATGCAAGATAAGACATCTGTTATGTATGCAAGCATAAATCTACATAAATCATTGACTCGAGTAGTGTATAAAGTCAGTCAGCTTGAAAAAGAAAATTTAGCATTAACAGCTAAAGTAGAAGAGACAAAACTAAGACACTATGAACTGTCTGGTGGAGCAACGGTAAGCTCAACTGAGATTCAGGTAACCAAGCAACAGTAAGGACACAAGTACCAGAACTAAGAAGTTATGTAAGCATTGTAAGGGCGAACTCGGCAAGTCTCTCTGAAGAACCAAAGAAAAAAATAAACGAACTATGGGAAACTCCACCAGAAAACAGGAAGCACGAAACGATTATAAGAATGGAGGAAACAGAAAATCCGAAAATAGTGGTACATAGACTCAAACAAGAATTAATGCTGAAGGACACTGATGGAGGCTTTAAAAGTATTACACAGTTACAATCTGGGGCAGTTGTTGTGGAAAGCTATAATAAAACTCAACAACAAAAGCTAAAAAAAATATATTAAGAGATAAAAAAGATATAAAAATTAGAGAAAATGAAAAATGAATCCAATGTTCATAATCACTGGCATTGAAAAAGGTTACGAAGCTAAAGACTTCATACAAGAACTTATAAGACTGAACATTGAATTGTACAGTGGCAGAAAAAGTAAAGATCATCACAAAAAGGAATTGTCGTAATCTCGTAATCCAGCCAAAGAAAACTGGATACTTCAAGCACCACCCGATATCGCAAATGTTCCGGCAGTCGTGAAGCTGCAAATTGTCAAATAGTAAACTTTCAATGTGCGAATAGCCAAAAAATGAAATATTATGATCATAATCATTATGCTCGTGATCCAAACTGCCCTGTTTATAAATCAAGAGTTATCAGGTTTAGGAACAGTATCAACTATGCCCCGGATTTTCAATAATAAATGTATCAATTGATACAGTAAGATCTGAAAGCTGCTCCAAAGATAAGACTACCAAACAGAAGGAGAACCTCGCCAAAATAGCCCTACTCCATCAAAATGTTCAGTCTTTTGGAAACTCATTAAACGAGATAAACCAGATGTTGATGGACCACGACGACTTTAAATTTATTTGCATAACAGAACACTGGAAGAGACAAGACCAGATCATCAACTATGGAATTAGAAACTTCAAACTTGCATCTTGTTTTTGCAGGAAAGAAGGGAAACATGGTGGAAGTTTTATGAGCCTAGCAGTTCAGTGTTTAGAAAGGTCAGATATAAGGTCATTATCAGTGGTTGGTTCCTTTGAATGCGCGGATGTGAAATGCTCTCTGAATGGTATGAATTTTATAATATTGTCAATATACAGGTAATATGCATGTATTTTTAGAAAAAATGGAACAAATTCTCTCAAAAATCCGTGATGATAGTGCCTCAATTATCATAGCTGGCGATTGCAATATAGATTTTTCATACGACAGCCCTAACAACAGCTATTATGTTCACTCCTGAACTCAAATGTCATTAATTCATCAATCTCAGACCACACTGCTCAAAAAATAACGGTAACATGAATAAACCTGCTAATCCAGTGAAGAAAATTGTAGAAAATAAAGAAAGATTTTTATGTAGACTCAAATCTGTAGACTGGCAAAATGTGTTTCATATACCTCGGAACGATGTAAATGAACAGTGGAATTATTTCAGCAATATTTTCCAATCTATTTTTGAACAGGTCTTTCCTATGAAAACATTTAAAGTTACGAATAGGTTCACTGACTCGCATCATCCTGAGAGTATAAAGACTAATATTAAGGAATGGATGTTCTACATGTGATTAGCAACAGTGACAACTCTTATAAGCGATGCTATAATAAATTTATATTAGAGTACAATCAATTATTAGCGGATGCCAGATATAAGTCATATCAAAGACGCATAGATGCATGATGTAAGACTACCTCATTGCCAGAATATCAAGTTGAAATTATTTTTTCTGAGTGTACCACTTCTAATGTCACTGAGTATATATTGAGAAACAACAATTTTAACTGTTATTTATCATAGCCATTGAACTCTATTTACCCTTAAGTCTACGTCTGCGCCCATTTTCTTATACTGTTTCATTCTAGCAGTGTGTATCTCTAGAATCTGTAATCTACCATCTTCATTAGGAAGGCTGATTTCAACTTGTACTTCTAATCGTCCAGGTCTCAGTAGAGCATCGTCTATCATGTCCTTCCTATTTGTCATGCCTTGAAAAAAATAACGAAAAAGTATTTCAATTCGTATTTGAAAGTTACACCACTCAGCAGTGAAAATGTTTCGGGTCCAAAAATAACTGTTTCTGAAGCATTTTGTCTGGCTGGATAAAAAAATTACTATAACTTCAGATTAGCTCTTCTTTTTATGATATAGAACCTACTTGGGTAATAAAATCTCACTACCAACTGTGGTCCAAAAATCGTATTTACCTCGACAAAAATAGAAAATTATACAGTGAACTGCTGTATAACTTAAGATCGTGTAAGTATACTCAAAACAGCTCATAACGAAACATTTGTTAGTATTCAGTCTCAAATTATTCAACTGACATCATTGTACCAAAATATGTATATATCTTCCTCAAGCATTTTAAGTTGCATAATTTTATTATTTTTCATACCTACCAATGACTAGAATGTTGTTTAGCTGTTCAACGCCATCAATTTTTGACAGCAGTTGATTCACTACAGTATCATGGACTCCAGTGTTGCCTGCTACGGATCCTCTTTGTTTACATATAGCGTCGATTTCATCGAAAATTATTATGTGTAGACCACTGTTTGGACCTGCCTGCAATAGCATATTGCATCTTGAAATTCCAAAAATTCATATACTCTAAACTAAAATATTCGTATCATCTGTTATTACAAATAATTTTTTAAACTTGGCATTAAACGTGTATTTCAACATCATATTCCATACATGTTCTATTTACCCTCTTTTCTTCTTCTTCTGCATCAGCAAACAACCTTCTAACATTAGCTTCTGATTCGCCGACATATTTGTCCAAAATTTGGGGGCCATTCACGATTTTTGGTTCTCTAGCATTCAACATTTTGCCAATCTGTCTTGCCATCAGTGTTTTACCAGTGCCAGGTGGACCATACAGCAGAATTCCTATAAAGATGTTCAACTTGGATTAAGATGGTGATTGTACATGTCAACCATTCTTTAATATCAATGCCATTAAGGTAAACATCAATAAGGCAAAGAAAAATACAAATGGGGCGTTACACTTTGATGAAAAAGAAAGATATAAATATGCAGATTGTAAGGTATGTGTAATGTTCAAGGAAGTAACATATGTAGTCACCTTTAACATGCTTGCAGTTCAACTGCTCAATAATTTCAGGTGGAAAAACCCTGGAGGCAAATGCTCTTCTGAAGATAGCATTGAATTCATTGCTTAAACCACCTATGCCCATCTTCTGGAAGTCCCAGTCAGGATTGATGATGGACTGACGAACCACTTTCCTGAAAAAAAAAAAATAAGTTATACTACCAGGCTCACAAAAAAATAGAAAACAATTGTTGGTTTACTTTTGCTACTGAAATCTGTTCATCTAAAATGAATTAGATATCAAATACTTACCCTTTTGACTTTCCAACTAAATTCAAAGATGAATTCTCTGCTTTCTCAAACTGCACTAGTGTATTGGGAATAAGTTGACCAATTTTTGCTTTCCTAGGCTTGGCATCTCCACCAGATTTTATTGCTGATATGTCAACAACTGAAAAAGCGATATAAAAGCTTAACAAAGCATAATTCAACAATAAGCAAAACAAAATTAGTTTTGAGGAACCTCACTCGAGTTCAAGGACCTAGATAAAATGGAATGAAGAAATATATGAATCTGGCAATTGTATCCTGAAGGCACCAAGACAAACGATTCCCCAAGCTATTTTCTATGTGATGTAATAATAATGATAATAATAATAATAATAATAATAGCGTTTATTTGCAGAGCAAAAAAAATACAAATAGAAAAAATTAAAAATGAAGAAACAACATGAATTCCCAGCAAACGGGACTAGTAAACAGACGATAAAATTACAACAGAGGAGTTCTTAACCAAATTATATAAGCTAATATTAAAAATTAATAACTAATAATTAGAAACGTCGAAAAATATATGAATATAAAGAATTTATGTAAAATATATAATTTAACGAAAAATGTCAAATCATTTTAGGCAGATTTAAAAAAAAAAACATTTAGAATATAAAAAGGAAAGGAACAATTCATCTAATAGAAATTTTCTGTAACTTCTTTTAAAAGCTGACACAGACATAAACTTAAAGTTTGTGGGGACCTGATTATACAAGTGGTAGATAAAATGAGAAAAACATCTGTTAAACATAGATGTACGATGACGTGGTTGGGAAATATCGATACCGAACATTCATATTGTGAACGTCACTTCTAAATGTAATCTTATTATATAAATAAGGCGGAGTTTTGTATAGAATAATTTTATGAAACAAAACTGCAGAGTGCAGATTTCTCCTAGTTTCCATATTTAGCCATCCTATTACAAGTAACTTATAAGAAATATGTTAAAATTGTTTCACTCCAAAAATCAACCTAAGACAAGAGTTTTGGACACGCTGTATACGATCAAAATCATACCTTGTTATACAAGGCCCATAAAGTGAGTCGCACAAATTGAATAATGACAGAACAAGCGTGTCACAAAGCAAAGCCTTAAGTTCGGCAGAAAAGATATGACGATGTGGAAATAACATTTTACCTCAGGTCACTATCCATAATCAAACCTAAGTTCCTAATAGCGGATGTATGAGGAATAACATTATTATTAATTGAAATATGGAATGAATCTGCCACGCTATTTTTGTGTTTCCCGAACAATAAAACATTTGACTTGGTTGGATTTACGGATAACTGATGTGTTATGCTTTCATTTGTCACATTATTAAGATCTTCATTTAATAATGTAACCGCAGTTGTTGTATCTGTATGAGAGAACGAAAATTTTATCTGGGTATCATCAGCATATAAATAAGGCTTTGAATATATTAAACTACTAGTAATATTTGCAGAGTATACTGAAAAAAGTAGTGGACCCAAGATAGAGCCTTGAGGCACCCCACACAGAACAGGCTTGGAAACAGACACCCCGGAAGAGGTTATGACTAACTGCGTCCTCTTCGAGAAATAACTTTTGAATAGTTTAATAGCATTAACGGAACATCCCATGTATTTTAAAATAGAAAACATTAACTGGTGATTAATTGTATCAAATGCCTTTGTGTAATCAAGCAATACAAGAGCCGCTGTATTGTTGTTATCAATATCCCTGATAATTTCGTCCGTAACATCTAGAAGCGCTGTCGTGCAACTAAAACCCTTTAGAAACCCTGACTGAAATGAAGGCAGCAAATCATATTCATCTATATGAAGCATTAACTGAAAATTTATAATTTTTGCCAGAACTCTAGACAGCACCGGTAATATAGAAATTGAACGAAGATCCGACAAGCTACATATAGTTCCTTCCTTTGGCAGAGGATGAACAGTCTGGAAAAGTATTTTCTATTTGGCAACAATTAATAATATGCGTTATGGCTGGTAAAATGTGCGGACAGCATAAAAGTAGCATTTCTATATTAATACCATCCGCCCCAGTTGCAAGAGTTTTTATTTCGTTAAGATATTTGTAAACAATGGTTTCAGAAACAGGTTCAAATGAAAATAACCGATCAAAATCCTTACGGAAATTGCTATTGTAAAAGTGAAATTTTTCGGGATCAGGATCAACATTGTTTGATGACGGAATCGGAAAATGCTTATTTATCTCATTCGGATCATCAAACTCTGCAGGTATATTTGGCGTTTTAGACTTGCCAGCAATATCTAGGCTTTGCAATTTCTTCCAGATAGCATTTGAATTCCCTCGGCAGCTGTTAAGCGAATACTTAAAATGTGATATTTGTTCAGCCCTGACAGCATTGGTGGTGAGATTCCTCATTTGTTTATAATAATCCCAATGTTCCGGCAAACCGGTCCTTTTAAATTTTCGAAACGCCTTGTCAGGAAGAGACATCATTAATTTAATATTGGCGGTTAACCATGGCGGCTTAAAATGTTTAAATTTGAACTCAGTGGAGTTAAAGTGTCAGAAATATTAAGAATAATACTATTGAAATATAGTATCTTTTCATTTGTATTATTTATGAAAAATAAGTCAAGAAAAGGAGAAATTTGAAAAAATTCTTCTAGGATACCCTAATCTATATTTTTAAGGTTTCTAACATATTTACTACTCTCCATTACAACACATTTCAAATTCAAAGTACAATACACCAACAAATAATCAGACACGTCAACAATATCTATTGTTCCTTTGTCAGATATGTTTAAATCATTAGACAGGATGACATCAATAAGAGAAGCAGAAGTATTAGTGATACGAGTGGCCGAATTAACTAATTGAGATAAATTAAAAAGTTCAATACAGTTATGAAAGGCCTCAACTTGATTGTTCTGAAAGTTCAAACAATCAATATTGATGTCTCCACAAAAAATGATAGTACCAGGTTTTAAATAAAGCACAGTGAGATTTGGTCCTCGATTAAGTAGGAAGGCACATACATTTTTACTTGGTGGCCTATAAAGTGTGCCAAATTTGAAATACTCTTTATTTATACAAAATTCTAACCAAATTTGTTCTACTGCTTTGCTAAGGAGAATGTTTATTGTTTTACACGCTCTATCTAACCTGAAAAATCTATAACAATTAATGTGAATACTAGAATTGGGAATCCCATTATGCAACCACGACTCACAAACACCAACTATATCAAATTTCTTTTCTAACATAAACTGTTTAAATTCAAAGAAATTATTTGTAAGTGATCTTACATTAATAATCAATGTATCTTAAGTAAAATTATATATATTTAAAATTAGGTACTCATGTTTTTTTGTGAAAATGAATCTTGACAATCCACTAAACCATTTTTTATGTGATGTCAATGTATCTTAGGCTACAATATACATCTTTAAAATTAAGTGCTGGGGTTTTTTTTTTTAAATGATTCTCAGATATCTTACCTTCAATATCTTTAATCACCAACAACAGTAGTTTTTTGTCCTTGAAAGCAAATGCTAACTGTTGTCCAACAGTAAACATCTGGTTTGGAAAAGAATAGAGGAATTCTTTAGCCATCTCATCTGTGTCATACTGCTCTTGTGAAGTACTGCAAAATTAAAGCACTGTTAAGCTCCCACAAGTTGTTATATGCCAGCTAAGAAGAGTGTACCAGTTTGAGAGAAACTGTGTTATTATTATGGGAAATAGTTTTATTCATCTGTCCCCTAGTAATACATTGTTATGGTAATATGGGGGCTACCCACAGGGCAGGGTCCTCTCAACACTTCTTTGGAGCCTTGTCCTTGACAGCCTACTGGTCAGGCACATCAGTAAAGGAGTCTACACAATAGCCTGTGCACAGTACTGCTCAACAGTAAATTAGAAGGTATCACCTGCAAATGCCCCCAACCAGCCCTTTGGATCCTAGAGGAATGGTGCAGAGATCATGTTATGAAAGTTAATCTCAACAAAACAGAACTGGTTCTTTTCACCAGGAAAAGCAAGCTGGCTAATATAAGTCCAACTTTTGCTAGTTTGCGCGGTCTCACTGTCGAACGCGGAGGTACCACGCAGCGGATCTCTAATGTGGGGCCAGAATTTATGCATTGCATGCACACCTGTTGCCTCGCAGGGTCCGTGAGGCATCAGCCCCCCCTCCGCTGTATCCCCCTACAGCCCCACAGTACCCATGGGTGTTTAGGCCTCAGACCTCATTATCCCTGGATACTGTCAGCTCAGGAAACATCCGTGTAAGATGGGATTGAGCAACTCATCCTTGTGTGAACTGGGACAGAGTAACACATCCTTGAGAGAACAGAAAGATGAGTGGAAGGAAGAAAAATGGCTATGAGGTTTACAATAGAAGAGTTATTAGGTTATGACAGCAGTAATGTTTGATATTGCTTTGATTTTTATCTAGATGTAGTTTTCAACATTTCTACTATATACTGAGTAACACTGATTGAGAAACAATGATATAAAAAATAGCAAGCCCAGCAGAACATTAAAAAACATGAGTTCTAGTTTTACATGTCATGCAAAAAGAAGTTGAGAGCAAGCAGAAATTCAAGATATTTCATAGATATCAGGTAAAAACAAATGTGTAAACTTGACCCTGACCTCTGTGCAGGATCAATCCAAAAGTAGGTCAAATGGTTACATGGTTTAAATGCCTCATTAGAATGCATTTTTTATTATATTGATTCAAAACAGTTGAAATCAAATTGTATAGATACAAAATATCAATGAATTCATTATTATCACCTAAATTATTATTTCTAATTTATACACTGAGTGATAAAGATATGTAGGTAATAACTTACTATCTCAGTTTTAATAATTGTAATGAGATCTCAATAGCATAGTAAAACAATATGTAAGGCTAAACTGTTTTTTATATGGTAAACCTTGTATCTATGATATAATAAGTATCTTATCATAACAATATATATTATTTAAAGTAACTGTTACATTCTAGCTTCATGAAGCTTTAACCAACATTTGATATGAAACTACTCTAAAGTATATCCATAGGCTCAGTTGCTATATTAACAAGAATACTGGAAAAATAAAACAAAATATTTTCAAGACTCCAAAAAACAATTCCCAAATATAAGCACACAATATTTTATAATTTTCTAAATAAGGAAACAACTTACGTCTTTTTTGCATGAAATCTGCCTCCAAAACAATGGAGGATATGTATTCTTCAGGATGATAAGGCTCAACATTGATCTCTTGATTAAGTGAAAGTACAGCCCATTTCCTCTGAGGAAGACTGAACCCAACTGTGTACCTTGCTATACTTGGATGACTTTTTATGGAAAACACGAAATTCTGGCCTCCTCCAGTGTGTATCTTGATGTGTCTAAAAATACAGATGATTAGTTGTGGGGATCAATTGAGATTTGAATTTCCTCACTTTGAATTTGGAAAATCGGCCTCATTTACGACGGCACAGTTTGAGAGTGAAAGTTCGTCAGTTGGACATTTAGCAACTTTGAAGACAGCCTGAAAAATCGTAATTTTCATTTAATATACAGCTTTAGTAGAGTGAATAAATATGTTATATAGAATAATTCCATACCATGTTTTATCTAAAATGATGTTAATAATGTCGTTTAGAATATCGTGTAGCAGCACTGCAATGCAGACTCAGACAAGACATGAAAATCTGAGTTGAAAATCAATATTTTCCCAAGGGCAGCTGGACTTTATTAAATAGGGTGCATATTTGAGCTCCTGTCATCCACCCGTCATCATGACAGTACCATCTCAGCCACAGAACACCTAACACTGAATGACAGTAATCAAATTCAAGCGGATAACCAAATGGAAATGGTATTTACCATTTTGGATTGGTATTTACCAATCCGTTCAAGCGAGTGTAGTTATCAGTTTGGTTATAAGATCCGTGACGTCACGAATCAGCTGTAATATGTCATAGTTATCACCGCAAAATTGTGGTATTTACCCAACTCAAGAGTAGTTTTATATTTCTGGTTATTATTTGAAATGTGACAAGTTAGAATTTTGCCGGGTACTGGATATTGTTATTGTACTTCAGCTTCATTTTTGAGAAAAATGATACAGGCTGACTTCAGTTTTACCACTTTAAATGTAGTTCCTATGCTTAACAAAGTATCCTGTGTAGCCATATACCACAAGAATATTAAAATATGGCCATATAAACTCACTAGATGATATCCACCTGTATACGGTTTTGCTAATTTCTTTTTTCATCATTTCTGCTGAATCAATAAATGTTTTCTTTGACATGCGGAAAAATTTAGAGAAATCAAAGTTATCATAGCTACAAAGCCATGGTTCCATCATTAAAAAAAAATTTGAAAAAAACATTTCTCCCATGAATATTATGAAAGGTTTCTTATTTAAACTTTCCATATACAGTTGTAGACGAAAAAGCACCGATTATTAAGTGATAATAAAAATAATCAGAGATTATATACGGGTTTTTCTAAAATAAACAACTTACAACTTTATTATAACCGCGGCACATAACACAGAAATTTTGGTTATTCGCTTGGATTTGATTAGTGTCTACTAACATCCCATTGGCAAAAAACGACGGTGTAACGCTTATAAATCTGTGCAAGAAATGCCACCTATAGCACAACCTATACCTATAGCATCCACGAATCAAATAGTCATCCTCCTCGTTAATTGTACAATCATCCTCAATTGATCCGTAAGAAGATTCAAAGAAAAAGAAAGAAAATTATTAGCAGATAAGTATTTAACCTGGAAATCGCATTGGAGTTTGGATGGGCGTAGGTTACGCCACTGGAAATCACAGGCCAAATACCCATCTCTAATAAAAATTGACACTTGTAAACTCAAATGGGTGTAAACGTCACACGCGTGCGCGGTACAATGTGCAGTTGTCAAGCTAGTTTTATTTTTCTTGTTTGTGAATTTGTAATGGATAAATTTTGAACAATGAAGTGAAAAGATGATGGGAGATCAGTTTCGAAAAGTAGAACAATATTCACCAAAATCATCACCACGTGGGGCCCGGTCTCCAGTTGTATCTCGTCAGGATTCGTCCGGAACATTAAAAACGACAATTTTGCTAGGAAAGAACCCATCCATAGTCCCTAGTGGACCTTTCTACTTGTTGAAGGAACCTCCAGGTATGATTGAGTTATTCACTATAAAATTTTCTATTATTTGTAACTTCATGCTGTAAGAGGGTTTGACTATGGTGGCCCTCTGTGACCCAGACACATACTAGCAACTAGGACTGGTGCTAATGCTAGAGGGGCTCCAGGTCAAACCTTGAGCGGGGGCCCCTGTTACCAGAAACTTGAAACGTTTATAATGAGGACCTTAACCCTGTTGTGCTGACTTCATCTCTTACACACATAACAGTCACTGACAATCTCTTCATTGTAGCCCTTAATAGTTCTAACATGGCAGTACTGGTACTCTTGGGTGACAGTTTTGTGTTCATCTTCATGTGCTACATCGTACTAGCAATTACCATAATCTTAATCTATCTTCACTGAATGAATTGAATACTTATTTAACTTCATATCTTCTTTCACAACTTGCCAACCAACACATTAAATAAAGTTCTGGAACCTTTTTGGTCTTTACATGGGGAGGATTTAGAGTATTATCATACTGATGTAAATTTTATTTTCTGTGGAGCTCCTGTTTCAACTACTCTGAACAGCTTTGGCCCTTTTTTTGTAGCTTGATTTTCTGAAATATTGGAACATACCCAATCATCCTAGCCTCTGCACTATTTGTTAATCCTTGTTAAAATATCAGGATTGCATATCCAAAATGTACTACAACCTCACTGCAAGATTTATATTTTATATATTTGTAAAGAACATATTGTACTTTATTTTAGCAAGTTATAATTTAGCTGCCATATACTTATGGAAATGGCAGCAGTATTTCATGGTGCATAATGGTGAAACATTTAACCATATAAGAAGACTGGTTTCCTTTTTCTTGTAATTGTATGCATTTTCAAGAATGAGCCATGTTTTCTATAAAATGCTTCATGTATGGACAAGAAAACAAGTTGGTTTTTACTCATGGAGCATTATCTTATACTGTGCTCAATAAGTAACCCTGAGGGATTTATTTCTTGAAATGAGGGAATGGAATAATTGTGAATATGCGGGCATTCACTAACTTATTTGGCAAATGTCAAAACTGTTGTCAAAGCTGTTTATAGTTTAGGCCCATATCGTCAGTCGTCCCTACAATTGTAGGGCGCGTTTATGGCCTCCTTGATTGTCATACTGCTTTATCTCCTTCAAAAATTTCTAGATAACACTTGTCCCGTGTCAGTGTCAGCGCTCTCCTATTGTGAAGATATGTTTTCTTTTTAAATTGTAGGGAATTTCAGGCTGATAAAACATGATATAACTCAAAAGCAAGTACAATTTAATGCAAATGGATGTTTGTGACATAACCTCAAAATAGAGTTCTGACACTGGAGAAGTAGAAAACTATGACAGTCAAGGAGGCCATAAAGGCGCCCTACAATTGTAGGGACGACTGACGATACAGGCCTTATAGAACACTTTCTACTAGATAGCTTCTTGAATCTGAATGTTCAAGTAGAAATGTCAAGTGTAAAGTTTAACTCTAGCAACCTAAATGATTAAGACTCTCCTGGTTATTATCATATCAGGAACTAGAGTATTTACTCTTCGCTCAAATCCTTTACCACATGTTGAAGAACAAGTTGTACCCATTATACTATCATCTCACTTTTGCATCTAGTGTTTGTGTTATTGTTGCTCAAATGCTCACAACTTCTATAAATAAAATCCACTTGTTATAATTATGATATTTGTTACAGCTGAATCTGAACTAACAGGTGCTACAAATTTGATGACCTACTATGGCTTAGAGCACTCATATAGTAAATTCAGTGGAAAGAAATTAAAGGAGCAGTTGTCTTCATTCTTGCCCACCTTACCAGGTGTGATAGACTCACCAGGGCTGCAAGACAATAGCTCATTGAGGTCAGTGATAGAAAAACCTCCAATTGGTGGCAAAGAATTGTTACCTTTAACTAGTGTGCAGTGGATGGCTTCAGGCTACATCCAGGACCAGTAAGTCGATGGATAGTTAGTTTCAAACCAACAAGAGATTTATGTTTTTTAATCATTACAGTATAATTCTTTATGTAATGCTATCTATATTTTAGCTACATGCTAAATTGATTTATTCCACCATAAATAATTCTAGGACTGTCAGAAACTCTTGTTGGGAAGAACCATTTATAATTATTTCCAGTATTCAAGAACTCAATCTCAACTCATGGTCTGTTAAACACAAAAATGTTTTTTTATGTATCTTGAGAAACTTAATCACTACATGTAGTTAATCAGTATTTGAAGGGTGTTCTGTTTAAAAAATACAACTTTATTAAATAGCACTTTTTGAGACATTCAGTATACAAAAAAAATATTACATAAAAAACTTCATATTAGAAGTTTGAATACGACTTTATCTTCTAGAACGTTATAGAAAAAAATTAGTCAATCCATAGCGGGACACCAGATAAAAGGCTTATGATAGCTGCAACACTGAAACCAATACTTTTTTCCAGTTACCTGAACAATACCGTTATACCAACACTGTCCCCATAAAGAAGCACAAGAACAAACACAAAAAGCATAAACACAAAGAAGGAGGTCTTCCCAGTCAAGAAACTACAGTAACAGACACAGCCAATGATACCCATGAGAAGAAGCACAAAAAGCAGAAAAGGCATGATGAAGACAAAGAAAGGAAAAAAGCGGAAAAAGGAGAAAAAACGAAAAAAGCAGAAGCATAGTCCTGAACATAGTGGAGGTCTGACGCCAAGCCAGCATTCAAGTTGAAACTTGCTTTCTCATAAGTGTACCTAAATGCAATCATAAGTTTTCTTTTTTATAATTTATGAATGTAAGTTTAAAGTGTGTTTATCCTTTATTGATTAATACAGACTGTTATTTTTTCATATGAGTTTTATTTTTAAGTTGATTTATCCCCTATTTCAGTCTCAAAATATTATATTTAGCAAATGTCTAAGTAAAGGAGCTGCTTCCGAAAAACATGCTTTCAATAATAAAAATTTGTTCTTTTAAAATGAACTGATTATTTACAAGTTCGTGAATTGGACGTTGTCACATAACGCGTCCGATTGTAAAAACTACTCCAGGCTCTGTAGAATTATATTTTTTCATTAAATTGTAAATTAGCTTAAGTTTATGGAAAATGTTATTACTTTGTTTTCAAGTCTGTGATATCAAAAACATCTTTGTGTATTCCTATATAAAACATCATTATGTTCTTTGAAGCAGTATATTTGATAAATAAAGGTTTAGAATAGATACATCGTGAGCACGAAACATTCTTAACTCTTACTATTCACACCTATGTAAAGGATTATCCAAGTGTTACATACGCACTAAAGGGGGTTATCTTCAATGACATGGGAGATGGTGATTCTAGATAGTGATTACGTCAGAAAATTTGTTTTTTACTTTTTCGAATTGTTTTACAAAATTTAGTTGATTTTGATTTGAACGCATATGGAAACCCTGCTTGTCTCTGCTCAAAAGTGAAACGCATCTTCAGGAATATCTCGCTTAGACCTAGCTAACAATGCTTTTGGTAAAAATGCGTTTAATCGAGTGAAGCGCAGGATGGCTCCTCTTTGGTGGTAACTGGTTTGATACTGCCTCATGACCATTTTGATCTCATTTGCATGAATGAGTAATTACAATTAATGAACACTCAGAAAGATCTAATTTCGAGTTTGTATTAGCACAGGTATATGGAGTTCA